TCTGTGAGGTGGGTGGCATTGCTGGTCAATGGGTATTTGATTTCCCTTACACGCGATACTTGTTTTTTCCTTTTATTTGGCGGGAATGCCCACACACTAGAGCGCTCCACCGACAGCGAGGCACAGCCCTGCTTAGGCAACTTTGACCGGGTCTCATGTTTGGTGTTGGCTAGTTTCTATAGCATTCTTTTCAAGTTCTTCAGTTTACATGTAGACGCACACATTTGCTATTCTCATTTTCACGGTTTTCGTGTTTCTTCCAGCCCCCGACTTAACAACAAAGCTGGAGCTCTTCCACTGTCCTGCATGCCGCCAGACTCAACGTGCTGGTACAGAAGACAAGGGCATGTGTTTCAAAATGAGGGAAGATGTAGCGGACCGGGCCGCTCTTAAGCAGCCTCTACCACACAAGTAATATTTAACAAACCGTTATTGAGGCACCAACTAATTGGCTTGGTCGATCATATACCTTATTTGCTGCAGAGTGCTGCTAGCCCGATACTAGAAGGCGCAATGTTGTATGCGTGTGCAGTACATGCGATGTGCAACTAGCCATGAAGGCCGGAATTGCATAGACAGCATGCACCCTAGGTGTCACACTCCTCTGGTGCAGGAAACTGTGAGGAGCGAAAGCGAGATCTTTTATCTAGAAATCATTCAATAACTTTTTTCTGAGTCTCAGTGGAACATGTCCTTGCTGTGCCCTTAGATGGAGACAAATACTATTCTTCAAAAATACGACGAGCAGACAAACAATATAGACAATCGATTACTCATTCTCAGCTAAACATTATGAGTGTGATGAAACCGTTTAAGTGTAGCTCACCTTGCTACAGTGAATGCTTGGAGTGCGTGGAGGATTCCGGAGAACGCACACAAGCTGTCCTTGCCTCCTCCCGCTAGGACAAAGGGGCTAGCGGACAGGAAGGGGAGAGTGCTTTTGGAGGGACACTCAGTCACATTCTGCTAAGCTTTGCATTGGATTAGGGGCCATGTGTCGACGAAGACCTTAGCTGAAATGTTGCAGCTATATTTGGGCAACAATTCAAGCAGGTAGGAAATATTTGTGACAAGTCAATCGCCGAATTTCCTCTGTCACCGCAGATACCGCTTGGTACCTGTAGAGGAACCCGTTGTATATACAATCAGGCGAGCCATGGAACTGGCTATAGCAGTGCAATAACAACCCCACCAGTAACTGTTAGAGGTCTCAGGTGTCTTACCAATGCAAAGGAAGCTCGAGCCTATTCCTACTCTATCTTTTTAATAGGCCTAAAGCCCTTTCCACACACCCATTGTTTATGAGGGGCGCAAAACAAGTAAACGAAATGAGGCGAGGATCACAACCCAAACGGGGGGGCCCCTGGGGCTGCATGCACAGGCGCATGCACGTCAAACAATCGGGGGAGACACGATCCCGTGTAGTGTGTGTGTGTGTTTCTCTTCAGGAGAGCTCGAACTCCTTCTCTCTTTTTTTGCCGCGTATCTTTTTATTCTGCCGCTCAAGGGCCCCTTCCCCCTGGCTCCTCACAACGGGGGGCCCTCAAGTGTTCCTTTTGTGTATAACAAAATGACTCGGGGGCCCCCAGTGTCTACGCTTGCCTGGCAGCTCGCGCTGCTGAGACAGCGAGCACAGCGGGGATCCCCCTCTACTCCCATCCCTCTTCGCCGCTTGCCACGCCGGTTTGGGGAGGGGCCGTCGGCAAGCGCCTACCTGGCGCCTCCAGTGGCTTCGCTCAAACTCCGATTGGGGCCTTTGCAGGGAACCACATGGAGCAGCAGCCGATTATTTTCCACGAAAACGTCTAGCCGTGGAGGGGTCCTTACATCCCCAGCTCTGAATGCCGCAGAGACAGCGCGTGCTTTAGGGGTGCCAGACGTTGCTCTTGGTTTCCCCTCCCCCGAAGGTAGTTCCCATTCTGCTGGAGACTCGACTTCCTCTGGTACAAACGGGTCATCAAGGAAGCATAAGAGCAAAAGGAATCTGAAGCTGGCAGCAGCGGTTGCTGTTGCAACAGCTGCCACGGCAGTTGCAGCGGTGGTTACTGCCGGAGGCAACAGCTCTAGCGAAAGACCGTTTGAGCGAAAGACAGTTCCTCCGCAGCAGGTTCCCCTAGACAGAAGAGCCACAAATGCTAGTGTTGCAAGTGAAGCAGCAACTGGTGCTGAACTAGCGAATGCTGCAGGGGTGGATGATGCTTCACAAGTTGCAACACAACCACTAGCAGATGCTGAGGCAGCGAGTGAGGCAGCAGGAGAGCTCACCGCCGAAGCAGCAGGAGCAGCAGGCACCACAGAGGTAACAGCAGCTGAAGCAGCAGACGCAGAACGGGAAGCCGCAGACCTCAGGGAAAACGAAGGTCAGTCCTTCGTCAGAGATTTGCAGGCGCATCAGCAAGCGGAGGAACTTGAAGGAGAAAAAGAGCAACAAAATCATCAGGACACCGCGTTAAAAGAAGGGGAAGGTGCAGCAGGAGAGGCAGAAGATGATTCTGGCGCTCCCAAACAGGACGTCGTCGCTGCTGCGCGTAGGTCTTCTGCATCAAGTGTCATTTTTCCTTCTTCACCCTCAGTATACCTGTAGGCATTGCATGGGGACTATATTAATTCTGTTGGGCATCTTATTATCGGCAGCCGATTCTCTTGGCATTCGCTCTTTATTCTGGGGTAGCATAGCACGCTGCCCGCTTGCTTGCGCGCTTGCACGGAGGCGACCTGGCTGCCCTGATTCTAGTGGCATGCGTGGCTGCGTTGTTCTGTAACTTTTCATCTTTGCATCTTTGCACTATTGCCTACTGTGGCGGGCCGTGTTTGAGTGCGCGTGCGTGCAGCCCAGTGCTCCCTGCCAGCCGCCTCAGACTGGGAGGCATTTTCAAAGGAGGAGTCCAACAGACTCTGTAAGCTCTCCCCGGAAGAGCTGTGTATGCATGCATTGCAGCAGGCGGAGCGGCTGGAGGACCTTCATCGAGAAGTGGAGGCGGCAGAAACAAAGAACAAACAGCTGCAACACCTCGCAGATCAGCAAGTCGCACAGGTATTGACCGTCTCTCCCCTATTCCCGTTATTTGCCGTGTGGAATGGCTGATTGGTAGAGAGGATATTTGGCTGTCTATCGTAAACGAACAGACGCGAAAGGAGCTTGAAGGTCTCCAAGTTGTGCAGCAAGCTTTACACCTGCCTACAATTCTAGAGGGGTCTCTGTTCTGCAGTATGTCTGTGAGGTTATGTGCTTTTGGATCCATGTTGGTTGGTGTCCTGTATTCCATTTCTATGAAAAAAATGCACGTGAGCACGTGTGGATCTCGGCTTGTGGTGAATCGCAGTTTACCGTAGATACAGTTGCCGTTCTATGGTCGCCATGTTGGGAAGCGTGACCCCACAAGCATTCGTGTATGCATGCACGAGAGGAAGTCTGTTTTGGGATGTGCATGACAGCTGAAGTACAACAGGGAATCTTCTCGGAGTTTTTTAGCTGCGGCTTGTGGCATCTTTGCAGCTTCGGCGAGACGCGAAGGAGGCTTTTGCAGCCCAGGTGACATGGGTGTTCGGGCTTGCACGTCCCTCACTACGTATGCAACCCCTTGGTGGCATGACATCTCCAGAAGTTGAAGCTGCTGTACATCGTACAACGCTATAAGGTTTGACGGTTTGGTGTGCTCACAATGTTTCTAGGCGGAGGCAGCGTTATCAGTGGTGGAGGCGAGGACGTGGGAACTATTTGAAATGCAAGACGAAATGCAGGACTGGCTGTCCACAAATGAAGAGAAAATGCATGCAGTTGAGTCGCAAGTAGAGGAGCTGCAGCAGGTACAAACGTTGAACTCCAAGCTACACACGATGGCATGCACGATGACATACGAGTGTCGAACACTGTTAAACCCCAACCGTTCTCCGCAGCCCTGTAGGCCGTTCTCGTAGCAGCTTTAGCGTATTGTCTAAGGGTGTAAAGTCTACTGCTGGTGGCTTGTGGCTTGTTCCAGGAGTTTGGCTCGTTGCTGTGGCGCATGAATACCGCTGTTAGTGCGAGCCGAATCGGCGTTGCTTTGTCATCTGTGGACTCGGCGATTTTCCGCCGTGTGCCGATTGGAGCTGCCGTCCGTGAGCTGTGGAAGGTATGTATATTCAACTCGATGGCAATCCTGCTGTCCTCTACCACATCGGTCATTTTTTGTTTCCGTAGTTGCCCCTTGTAGGTCGTTTTTGCTGGAGGTATTAGTGAGAGAGACACGCAGGAGCCCCCGAGTCGGTCTCTCAACATGAGCTTCCAGGCGAGAGTACGCCCAAATGAGTACGCTGCCTTGTACAGGCAACAGAAAAGCGCGCTGCTACTGCCCATTTCACAGTCTTTAATCCTTTGCCCTTCCAAGCTCTTTCGTGTTTGCCTTGTGTATTTACAGGCTGGAGAGGAAGACCCCGTAGTTGCTGCCGCCGTTAAACCTCTTCTGCCCCTTCTACCCGTCTTGGACAGTGATCCCGTAGAGACGGCCTATTCAGCATTTGTACGCTAAGTTTCTGTGTTTCTGCCGGTTTTCGCATCTCCTTTCAGTTTCTAAAAGCCCTGCATGTCACAAACTCTTCGTTTTGTGCATACGAGCAACGTATTGTGCAGCAAAAGTTTAGCCGTTCCCCTTCAGTATTTGTGCATTCAATTTATTCATTCGGTATCTTAATTATCGCAACTCGCTTATTTTTTTCTCAGGAACAGCTAAACAAGGCTGTGCACTGCAGCGCGCGTGCTGCGTTCGTCCCTGAGGATTCGGGAGTTCTTATGCACCTCTTGGGGTTTTTTCTGGGCTCCTTGTATTCCGTAATGCCATTACCACTCTATGACCCTCCCTCCTGTGATACCCAAGACAATGTTAAACTAACTGCAAGTGGAGTTCTCCATCAGAACCTCGCATGGCTTTCACAGGCACGCATACACGCAGACAAAGGTAAGGCCCCAACGCTGGTACTTCATAGAATTTTGCTGCGGCTTGTAAGCTGAGTCTCTTATACCGCTGCTTGTGGTGCAGGCCACTAGCGCATGCACTTATGTTAGCGTTCCTTGGCAAGTCGTTGTGTGTTTTATTTTTTGCAGCTGACCTATTGTGTGCCGTACAGTGTCTCGACAGACTGCGGGGCCTAGCACGGCAGGAGTCAGAGGACGTAGCCAAAAGAATAAAAACGGCTCTTCTTGTACATCAGGTTGTCGATACAGTCCGGGCCCGCCTCTACTGTATGAATAGCCAGATCACCTCGTAAACCCTACTCTAAGCTCAAAACACTTACGCCTCATATCTTGCTACCATGTGTGTGACATCCACCTGTAGTAGACGAGTTGTTCATTGTCCCCGGTACCGCCGTGTGTGACGTCCCCCTGTGGTAGACAAGTTGTTTATAGTCCCCACTATTTTAACCCAAAGCCTTCTATTTGCACCCAACTCATCACATCCAATGCGTCACATGGAATCTGTACCGGGACAAATTTATGCGTACTTCCATTTGACTCTTTTCTGTAATATCTTGTTAGAGACCCTGTGAGGCCGTCAGAGATCCCACCAAGTGCATTCAGGAGAATTTTCGGCTTTTTGCTCAGTGGGCACAGCTTGCATGGGCCTTGTTTTGGCAAGGCAATGGTTTGGAAGACATTTCTTGTGGGTAAAGTAGGATGTGCTGGATCAGCGGAATGTGTAGAAATGCTAATTAGCTCACGCGGAGTAGTGAGGTTAGGGGACCACGGGGCGCTTGTAACAGCCTGGGGTGCGCCTTCACTGCAGAAGGGGGTTCAAGAGCACCAGAGCGGACCATTGGAAGGGGGCAGAGGTAATTTTCCAGAAGAACAAGTCGATCGCAGCATGAATCAAGAAGTGTATCACGGAGAAAAACAGTGGTAACGGGTTTTGAAAACATCCAAACCGGTTTTGAGTATCGAGTTAGAGAAGAAACACCTAAAATAAGGGGAAAGAGCTATGGCAAAAGAAGGGTTCTAAGCCTATGAGAGGACCGCTGTGCATGCAATTCCGTGTATAATTTACACGCTTGCAGATTCACATAGCAGGCAGAGATTGGACTATGGTGGCCCTTAGACGTAATTAAAAATTGCCATAATTTTTCTGATGCAAAAAGTTAGGCATGGGACGCAGATAGCTAAAAGTAGCTAGTATCTTCGGGGCACCGGAGAAGACAGCGCAGCCGCCATATTGCCTCCCAAAGCCTCGTTATTGTGACTGGGCCGCGCTTTTTGTTTCATTTGAAGCGAAATTCTGTTTATCTGGAATCTAGAGCAAATTCTTGAGTATTTGTTGCATAGTTGGGTTGTGCTTTTACAAGTGGAGGCTTTCGAATGGCATGCGACCGACGAGCCTACACCGGCACCGCTCCACTGGACTGGCGCCTCCGACATCGGAAAGGGGTCTCTGTCTTTTTCTACTTACTTTGAAGTGACCGAATTGATATTATACTTAGTCTCTTTAATTTATCTGTGAAATAATTGCTCTTTTATATTTTGGTTCCGCGACTTTGGTCGTGCCAGGGCCCCTTGTACCCTTCAACCTCAAGGCAAAGCACTGTAATCTATATCATCATCAGTTTAACTCGTTACCTCTCAGCTGACAAATCGTTTATACTCTTGAAAGGAACCTTGATATAATGCTGCAAGCCAATAAGGCGCACGTAATCGCAGGCCTAGCCCGTCAGAATCTTCATTTGAGGCAGTTAGAGCTGCAGTATTGGACGGAGGTTTTGAAGAAGTTCGGCACTTTGGCGGCCTTCCTTGGCGGTTTTGCCTCATCTGTAATGCAGCTGCAGACTGACATACCCAAGGGTCCCCAAGGCTTCCATCTCATTTTTTCCCTCACTGCAGCGGGTGCCATGGGACTTAATTTCTTAGTCTTGGCGATCTGTACAACCTGCACGGTCTGGGGGCCTGGAAAGGCGCTTATCGGTCAGGGAGATGAGTCATACAGAGTTGTAAGTGAAGCAATAGGAGAAAAAACCAGGGAGGGAAAGATGGAAAGTAATACACAGGAAGTTAGATAGAGTAAAGGACAGGGTAGACGAAGCTATCATATGCGTGCAACCCGATCCCTCGAGAAAACTTGCCTTTGCCTCTTCCCATCTCCGTTTGCTTTTCTGATGTGAGATATGCTCACGTGCGAAACTTAGCGCGTGTGGACTGCATGCAACCAGAAAACAAGGGAATTAGGTGATGAGCTAGTTTACGCAGCAGGTGGAGTTGCAACGTGATAATTATTTGCCATCCTCGGTACATCTTAGTCATGACATGACAATCTGTGGGATCTGCAATTATTTACCTTCCCTTTAATTGTATGCTTCAGCGTATTCGGCATTTTGCCGTTTTATATATTTCTTGCACCTTGTGCTGGCTCCTGATAGCGTATTCTTGGGCCACTGGGTCGCATCTGTACAGTTGCCGTAAGCTTACGAATGTGGAAGGTTTTAGGTCCGCTCGTGATTGCGTGCTATCCGGCCGTTGCTGCTTTGCTGACCTCTCAGGTGATCGGAGTAATGGAAAAGGCTTACCATCGGTCGGTGGTATTCTTCCGCATGGGAACCCTATGCTACTTCTTTGCGACTGTCTTTGCATCCCTTTGCCTCTTCTCCTTCCTAGGAGCAATGTTGTTATCCCTAGTGCTTTCCCTAGTTTTCTTCTGCCTTTTAAAACATGTTATGGCCTTGAAGGAAAAGTTTGTCCCTCAGAAGTTTAGCTCGGGGCAGCTCGAGGGGAATCCCATTCGGAATATTGGCGTTGTAATGACCAGAGAGGCCGACGCTAGGCTCTCTGGCCTCTGCATTGATCCAGCATTTGGGGCCAGGATTTAGCGCGAGAACACCACCAGGGACGTCCGCTTCAGAAGCAAAAAAATGTGGCTAGCTCTTTTCAAGTGGCAAGAGGGGGGCATTCAGCTGCTCAGAATCGTGGACACATTGAAGGGCGATAACGAGACTGACAGAATAAAAGAACCAAAACGACTTAAAGGGCGAAAACGCAAAGAGCTTAGAAACTACAGAAAGAGCAAGACGAAGATTTGAGAGGGAGGACAGACGGGTAGGAGGGATGAGGCTGCGGGTGTTTGTGCCAAGGAAACGTACCTAAGGCAATTCTAAACCTCAACTGCTCTCTATTACCATGTAGAGCATTGCAAATTTCCAGGAGTAACTGTGCATTGTATTATAGGGTAAGGTTTTTTGAATACAATACAACGCCGAGCAGCTGGATCCTCCGATGGGCAGGTGTCTTTGAGACGGATCGATTTGCAAAGAAGGGACACAGCAGAGAGTAGCTCTGCTGCTAGCGTGCGACCGTATACGCATGAAATAAATTTTCCCCAAAACTAACAAAGGCTGGCATTTAATCTAACCACGAACTTCTCTTGCTCCACACAACCGTGAACCACAAGCAATTCTGTAGATACAACCACCGAGGCCTCTAGTGTTTCGCATGTCTGCTTGATGGGAGTGTCATACGGGAGATCTAGGGAAAGTGAAGTTAGAGGGGCGGCCTACTCTTGACTTTTAAATGCACTTTTGCCCAAAGTTATGAATAAAAGTCTCTCACAGCGTCTCATGTGTACGGCACGCTTCACGGGGAATACCTAACTGTCGAGCATAGGACCCAGAGCAGTCTGCACTACTATTGCACTGACCTCCCCTGCCATCCGTAACCCCCAAAAGTACCTCTGCATTAATGATTTCTTCTTCCAGAGACAGGGGATCATTGGGAAATTTATTGTTACTGGTAGAGGATCGTTGGGGCTGGGTTGTACTACCGAAATTGGTGCTCGGCTGTTGTACTGCGGACGTGCAAGCTATAACAGCGAGAGCAAGATTGGTAAAGGAAGACATTCTGAATGGGTGATGTGGTTTCTGTCTTTTGCATCCACCACTGAAGATGAACCACCAATGGCACAACACACAACATCCATGCAACATCTACTTGAGTAACGTCATCTGGGGTGTCCTGCATTTGTCGTTACATCGAAGCATCTCATTCATCCTTGCTCTCCGCTTCCTTATATACTTCGGGGCTGACGCACAGAAGGAGGAGAGCCGACCCAAACAATAGCAAGTCGCCTTTCATTGTACTCTGTAGTTACGATATCCCCGCAAAAGGTTTAGGAGGAAGTCCCCTATTAATGTACCTAATAATAATCCAAGCCTTAACATTAGCAAAGAGCATTGAATGCATAATTTGCGGGAAGTCCTTCTCGGAAACAACGTAAAAGCTGAGCAATAGGTTTTAAATCGCTGACGGGCGAGGGCACCTGGTGACCCAAAATTATGGACTTTGGGGCTGTATGTCTACTTTCTGGCGTGCCATTTTGCTCATTTTGGTAATAACAGTCATTTAAAGTCAGTGGATATGACGGTTTTGTTTAATAGATTAGTTTCATTCGAAAGTGACCCGTGCTGTTCTCTCGCCCCCAACGAGCTGACACCAACGCACGGACGGCGTTGCTCTCCTGGATGCTTCAATATCAGAAACCTACGCCTCTTTCCGACGCAGAATGAATTTCTTTGAGACAAGCTACGGAGTTTTTTTCGGTTCCAACAATACTGTCCTATCATCCTCACCTCCGAAACCCTGTGCCAATTTTTGCAGAGAAGCCGTAACAAGGGGACCCCTGTGGGGGTTCAGCGACCACCCCCCCGCTGGTCTCCCAGGGCCCCAGTGGCTGGCAAGCGATGCAGCGTCCGTGGTGAAAGGGAGCGCAGGGTCGTCAAGGGGACCCCTCACAACCTATGGTGAGTCGTATCAAATTCGCAGTAAAAGCAGCGGTATGGTGCACCATGCCCACGGGGCGCATGCGCAAACACAAGAAGTAGAGGTAGAACAAGAGGAGAAACATATAGAATCCGGAGCCCCGGAACAGGTAGACAAGAATGAATACTTCCCCTACAGCATTAAGCACGGTGAAACAGCCATATCCACAGCAGACAAGTCCATTCATGAGAGCAAGAGAAGCATAGGCAGAAGACAGGATACGCTTTCGTGGCTCAGCAACAAAGGAGATCACAGTATGGGTACCGCTGCCTTTATGACCTCTTCACAAGCCATCGGGAGGGTTCCTGAGGGGCTCAACACAATCAACCAATTGTTCGCATCCCAAAAAGGAGAAAGAACGCAGGGACTAGAGGGGAGAAGGAAAGACCCTGCAGGTATCGACTCCCTAAAGGACAGTCTTTGGTTTTACCCCCCAAAACTCGCCGCCTACAGCAACTTTAAGTAAATAGCAAAATGAGGGCAACATTGACTTGCATATTCCGCAGGAGTGTGAATGTAGACAGCAAAAGCACTGCACCTGCAATTTACGGCACATCTATGTAGCAACACCGCAAAAACATCCAAGAGCTCTAAAAGCTTTCTTCCTGCAGCGCATATTAGTACAGACGACGGAACTGACGCGTCATTATATCTTAGTGTACAATCAACAGCAAGGTGACTGTGCGTTACAGTTTATTCAGCATAATGCGGGATGCTGGAGTTGCATTTTCAAGTGCTGCAAGCACTCTTTTCTTTCCTAAATTAGCCAGTCGATTTCCTTTCTCAATTCGTATAAGGGAATAAAAACAGTGGGAGGCTTACAATAATGGAGCCAATGTAAGCCAGCTGCTCTGCTGAGGCTAGCTGCTCGGCGGATTCTCTGGCTTCTGGTTCAGGATGAAAGGCTATAGGGGTAGGCCAAGGCAGGTAAAATGTCCCAAGCTGCTATCCTTTTACGAGCCAGACAGTTTTTGGATCTAGGCATAGTCCAGATTCCGTAAACAATGACTCTCTGAGGAAAGCAGCCACGTTTCCTTGCTGTAAGAAGCAATGAAGAAAAAAGCTTGTGGCGTGTCCAATTTAATATTATGAAGGCCCAAGCTGCCTTGAACTGGAGATATTCTTTTCTCACAAATAATTCATGTACGCCAAGCAGATTAGGCCACTGCCACCGAGAGGGTCTTTTCCTAGTCCCCGATAAACCAACTGTAGAGGGTGAAGCTAATTTTAAGAGCTGTTTTGTACACGAACGATATTCATTAAGAACAAAAAACGCAATATCTGATTTGGCTTATTGTATATGATATTGGTTGCAGAGCAGCGTTAGCTTGATAGAACAAGACGCAAAGTCTGTGCGCAAGATATTGAATGGAACTAGCTGTAAGATGCCCTGAGTGTACAACTTCACCTAAGGTCTCACTGGCCCAAAACTTCACTTCGGATTCAATATAAGTGTAACAGAAAGGTATTGAATGTTTTTCCAAAGAATACTCGCCTTTCCCTACCCCTTCTCCCAGGGCTCCTGGCAAGAGGAAAGAGGGACAGCTAGGGTGCGCGTTGCTGTAACCTCTAAGGACCACAGTTATACACAGCTAGCTGCACAAACCATCCAACGCATATGCACTTTGCATTTTGTATCCTGATCTCGGTCGAACATGCTATGGTTTAAATAAAGCTTGCCAATAGATAAAGCAAGGATTCAATTCTTTTCTGAACTTTTACCTCTACTAACTAGTTTTGTATGGAGTGAGTATTTGTACCTTAACACGCTAAGTAGAGTGCTTAGACGCAGTGACAACGAGCACCATAGCTGTCACTCTCAGTCTATCTGGTAACTCTGGAGGCGCAGGCACGCTAGGGAGGGAGCTCTGCTGTAGATTCACTTAGCAAAGCCCTATAAAGTTTGGATTGAGTCTTAGGGGAAGCATTTTCCTAGATTCGCGTTAGTTGTGGCGCCACAGTTGGTTGCACATCATGGCTCGATTTAGCTGTTCCCCGCTCATCCACTGGCTGTGGATGCAGTAAGATTTTGGGCTCCCCAATTTTAAGATGTTCGATTTGCATAAAGTTACTCGATAGCTCATTCACCTGACCTCGTTAGCAGCAGTGTGAAAAAAGTCCTTCTGGCATTGTTAAATGACGGTAGCACAACGCCTAGAGGCAGAGGCCGGCCCGCGAGCTGGTGAGAACATAGTAGCTCCGCAGCTGTGAAAAGGCATGATTTGTAATCCAATTGAAGTGTATGAGCGCGGTGATCAGGCTATGTGGACTAGAAAAGAGTGAAGGCCACACGGACAGACAGAACAAGAAGAGTTCATCGGTCGGTTGGAGATGTACCTCGCCCTGCACTCCTATTCAAATAGAAGCAAATACTCCTTGACCCACGTCAATTGATAATAAAAGCACATAAGTGGTGGCCTTGTTAATGCAGAACTTGTTCAATTGGAATTACTACATTTCAAGCATTCCTACATGCGCAAACTGATTGGTTCACGCCAATATAAGCTCACCAGCAGGGCTTGGGGGGATTGAAAAGGTGAAGCAACAAAAATTATTAATACACTGCTCTATCAAACAGTACAAAACTTTCGTTCCTGAGAACAACATAGTAGACGATCCGCTGTTTGGGCAGCGGTTCGTCTCAGATCTACCCGAAGTGGCACTTTGGGTGACTGCAGGACAAAGCGCAACCTGGCGATCAAAAGGCCAGCATGTGGGGCTTCCAAAAACTAGAAACAACTTTAGATATCGAAATCAAATGAGCACAACTACTGCACCATTCGTTAAAAGGCAAGACTTCAGCTGGTATTTAGGGCCTATGGGTGTAGGGGTTGTAACAACCGACCTCAGCCTACAGTATAGGGTAGACAAAAAATGCAAGCCAGGGAAGACCCGAACAACTTAGCAGCCCCAAGCAGCTCTCCAAGAGCGCATGTTTTTCTACTGTCACGAATTGTGTCACATAATTTGGAACTGCAAGAGCACGCGATAAGCCAGTGACTTGAGCAACATGAGCGGAGCAGCGCAAGCAGGCTAACTGACGAGGCTAGGGCACTTACACACCACTCCAAATTGGAATGGCTCCATTAATTATGGAACGAGACATTGACGTTAGGCCTGCATACCCCGACTTCACCCCAAATACGCCGTCAATGACCCACTGGAAGACACGCGTGTGGCCAGAGCTACGTGCTGTGGAGATTGGAGTGCCAGGAAGCGCTAGTGTGGAGTACCTCCTAGTCTCATTAGCAAACCTCGATCTCTCTATGATGAGGTAACACCTCAAGAAGGTGAGACAGGGCCCCTATGAGAGCAACCCAACAGAGTAGGAAGAGAAGATGCTTCCGAGAATGCACCCTATCTGACTGGCTCTGCAACCAATTCGTTTGTAGTGGATTCGCACGTTGACTAAAATAATATCAAGAGTCACAAATTTCAAGCATGGGTTCGTGGATGGGCTATTCAACAACGAGCTGCTATCAGGCTGGCAATCTGCTAATAGTCCAGCTCAAGTATTAAACTAATCCCCGGGTTGGCTCCGAGCTGTGTTCCGCCGTTTCAGAAGTTTTCACAGCACAAGGAAAAAATTAAGTGACATTCGAGCGACTCGTTGGAAGAGGCAAAGTGAAAGAGTCAACCACCAATTTCAGCATAACAGAGCTTTGGTGCAGCGAAAATGACGGAAGATGGTTCATGTACGCCAAATTAAAGCTGTCAACAAGAAATCTCAGGCAAAAGCTCCCGATGCTGGCGAACTACTTGACATACCTTCAGCATATACAGGCTACTCGACTTTCAACGTTACGAAGGCCTTTTATACTAAATCCCCATGCACGCACATGGAAAACACAAATGGTGTTCCACACGTGCAGTCGTAAGCTGAAGTATATCTTCATGCCGTTTGAACATGTTGATGCATCAGCTGTGGGGGAGTGGCAAGTGATCGGAGCTTTTATGGGCCTATCAAGCAGGATTGATTGGATGTCTACATGCACGATGTTTTTGTGTTCAGCAGAAACATGCAAGAACACCGACAGCACCAACGGCGTACTCTACAGCTGTCTCTGGTAAAGCCCAGTATGCGAAGGCGCGCATGCGTTCGTTTTCCCCTATACCAATTGCGGTTCTGGGATCTTGTGTTTTAGGTGCGGGAATTGAGCCATTTTCGCCCAATATTGAGCTGACCCCGACATGGCTTGTACGTATCCGCAAGGAGGCTGCAAAGTATGTTGGGATGGTATCCTCCTACTGACATTCCTGGAACTGTTTAGCTCACTGCTTTTTGACGGACTGACTGAACTAACTGCAGTCTGTGGCCTCAACAGAGGAAGCAAACGTTGTAACAAGGATACCTACCAGCAGGGTTGCGACTCTTCCGGTACTCGCATTACTCTACTCAGCACCATTTATTACCACCAGTCAGTGCTAGTAATGCAGTGGCGGGTGCTATTCTCTGCCAACACACTAGGTACTCTCCGAAACACCCGACTAGTACTTGCTATTCGCATCGCTTCACCGTCCCTGACGAGAAATATCCAGTGCGGGATAGAAAACGAACTCTATGCGGCGTGGTGGGGCATAAAAGTGCGCCGGCATTCTTTACGTGGGCGTCATTTTACTGTTTAAACCAACCGTTGTTCTTTAACGTATCCCACCTAAGGATTCTAGACTTCGATAATCCTTCAGTTGTTTGCTGACTTGAGTGCCTTCTCAGTCCGATTTTGCAGCGAAGTACATTGAAGGCAGCATTAGCGCAGTCGCCAGAGCGCACTCGCCACGCCCCACCGAATCCTTATTGTGCAACGCAGTCGCTCTTGTGTGTGTCGAATGACGGGATTCTATAGAAAATGCGTGAGTCATGTGCATTCGACATCCATGCATCCACCATCATGGCCAGTATCCGGAATGGCGAGCGAGTAATGCCCTGCGACGCTCAGGATGGCTTGCTGTGGGTCAAACCAAATCGGTGATTCTATTGCTTGTACACTCCCACTTTGTTCCGCCGTCCTGTTTTGCGCATAGCAGATGACCATCCAGTTTCAGGCCAACGTGGCACTCATACTCAGGTGTAAAGGATTTCCATAAACTCTGTTGACGTGAGATGTCTCCCACGTAAGAGATGTCACACCCAATTTTCAGCAACTGCAGCTACTAGCAGTTTCTTGATAGGGCCTTTGCAAAGTCTCAACGCTCATCAAAGAATATGAACTGATCTGATTATAAAAGTTGTTGTTGGAGATCTGGATGTCAAGAATTTGGGTAGCGCCTACCTCGTTACAAATACTCAGTAAAGATGGCATCATGATTGTGTTC